GCAGAAGTCTTTGAACTACATCCCATATTTTCACTGCTTGCTGATTAAGCAACTGCATCTGACAGAGCTTTTCTGTCTTTTCTAGCTCTTCTGAAAAATCCTGATAGCCAAATTGGAAGCAGGTGTTTGGGCTACATATTGGAAACAAATCTCAACAGCCAGAAGCACCAGATGTATCAGATGCTTGTGAGCAGATGAAAACATGATAGTATTGGTGATTCAGGCAATCAGCTGTGAACCATATCTCATTTTTCTGAAATATATATAATATACTTCTTTACGTGTCACAATTGTTACCTTCCCCATTGAATCCTCTTACTACAAAAACGTAGGCTTTAAGCCGGATTTGCACAGTGTGAGTGGGATGTTACATTACTGTTTGCTTTCCTTTCTCCCTCTCAGGATTTTCCTTAAGGAGATAGAAAATTGCATTGAAAACCCTGAGCTTCTTGCCCGATGCTTTTTGAAAAGAGTAAGTAAATTCTTTTGCAGTTTTGTACGGAACGCTATAGTCTTATCCTACAGTACTTACAGATTTACTCCCACCCTTTCACTTTGATTGCTTTTGTGAATGAGAGAAACTCACATAAGCAGGCAGATATTCCGAAATTAAGCCGCAGTTAACAAGTGTATATTCTGCAATCTGAACCTTTACCTGGTTTACTGACAGGAAGAGATCTGTGTTTTAACAATGTTTTAAGCCCTGATTAAAAAAAAAAAAAAAAATCATTGATCCAAATGTTTAACATGCTTTTCATCTCAGACAAATCTATACCAGCAGTCTGATGTATCCCACATACCACCCTACTGTAAATAAGAAGAGAATGATATGACAACAGATTGCTCTGAGTGCAGACAGTACATCCTGTTCCTTCCTTATCTCCCTTTTCTCTGCACCATTCAGGAGACTTACTCCTCTAGACGTAGTACAGCAGAGTCTACCACCTTACTTGCATGGTGAAACCCACCAGCTGCATAAGACTGTGAGGTCGATTCCTTTACTTGGTCACATAATTCAACAACCAAGTGGGATTCTCTCCACTTGTATGAAGTGGTGAGGGTTGTTTAGAAGTAGCGTGAGCTCAGTTTACGAGAAAGCCCAAAGCCTACAGGCAGTGATGGCTTTGGTCAGATGCATGCGTCTTCACTTCCTGTGGCTTTCAGCTCCATGTCCACCATCCCTCCCAAGTAGCATGACTGTTAGTTCTGTTTCCTGTAACATAACAAAAGGTGCTTTTTTATATAGCACTCATTCAGAGGCTCTACTAATAAGAAAAAAAACTGTTTTGGTGGGTTGTTGCTGCTTTCATAGACTGACAAAACTGCTTGAATAAGATCTTGTTTTTGCGTGGGAAATGGAATAGGCATAAGAAATGGGAAAATCTGTCCTCTTCTCTATGGTCAAAGGTACCCCCTGCTTCCACTGTATACTACATCTAGCATTTGCTGCTTTTCGAGGGTGCATGTTCAATCTTCTTTTTTCAACAAGGTGCTGTATGAAATACAGGCAGATTTGGATGAAATACACATACCACAGTTGTCAGAGGTGTTGAGCACTACCCCATCTCTAAGCTTTCAATGGGAATTATGAACATGTGATACTTCCAAAGGGTAGGCCCCAAATTTACAAACAGGTCAGGCTGAAGAGCATCACACGAGTGTAAATGTGATTGTAAGTCTGCTGAATTATTTTCTGTTTAACAGCCAGCATTTAGAGCTTGAGTAAATAACAGGACTAAGAAATACGTTGTTACTTTAAGATTCAGATGCTGAGCAGGAAAATACTGCGGTGAAATCATTATGCAAAATAGTATAAACAGTCTTTGAAGAGTGCAGACCTTTGAAATCCAAGAAGCATAAAATAGTCTCTATGTTGCAAATATCCCTAGATTTTGGAGCTAAAGAGAAATTCTTGAGACAGAATTGATCCTGTAATTCTGCATAAAGTTCAAATTCCGTGTTTAAATATTGTAGCTTATGTCTCTCTCTGTAAAAACAGATATTGAGCCAATTCTCCTCACTGTTCTCCAATATGAAATCAGTAGCACTACAGCTATGTTTCAGGTGTGAAGTGAAAGAAAATCAGTCCCTCTGTCACTTTTGCTTATCGGTTTCCTTGGCCTAGTCAAACATCACTAACTCTGTTGAATAAGAGGGTAAATCCTGCATTTGCTTTCTCCCTATTTCAAATTTTGCGCCAAGAAAGGAAAAACTTCTCTGCTGAGATGTCTCTGCTCGCACAGTAGCGCCTTTGATTCAAGAACTTGCCCATATGTTCTGTTTTTAGAAGAAGCCACGTAAAGTCCAGAAATTTGTTGCTTCTGTTGGACTGACTTTAGGAGGCACAAACAAAAGTCTGATTGTGTGTTTGTGTTCCCCATGATCTGGCAGCTTTTTATGCCTTCCATCTGGCTTGCCCCATGAGTTATGACCGTGCTTGCTTTGGCATGAGGGAAACTGAAACGGCTGCTGTTCAAGGCGATGCTGAGTTCTGGGAGGAAACTCACATTGTTGCAGATTCACTTCTCCACTTCTCCGTCTTTGTATGGGTGTAGTCATCCTGTCACAACATTGTGGTGGACCAGTGATTAGAAATAGACTGATTATTTAGATTTGTACTTGAAGAATATTACCCCATCTCATCACACTGGGCCTTCTCAGCCCTGATTCTAGAGCTGCTTGAAAGCACACTGAGAGCTGCAGTGGGACACCCTAGTGCCTGAGTTTCTCCATCCCCTGGCAGTCATTCCTCTGCCATGTCCCCACACACTCTCCCACCTCCACCAGTGTCACCTGGTCAGCTGTCACCATGGATGCGAACCCTTCTTTTCAGGTGACAGCAGAACCAGTCTGTGGAGTCCCAGCCTATTTCTCTTCTCTGACTTCTCTCCTGGAACATGGTAGCAGAATCAGATGAAAATGAGCCAGAAATGCCCCTCTTGTCTTCTCTCCCACTTTGCCTGACCTTGTTAGGCTTTGATCTTCATATGAACTAAATAAGTAAGCCAGATCAACTCTGCCCATATGACAGCTGTTATATAATCACCAAGATGCTTGACCTTGCTTAAAGCTCTGTGTGGCAAGGAGTGCCCAAATGCTCAAAGAGGAGAGGGAAGTGTAGTGAGTGTCTTGCTGGATGGGCCTTCTAGTGCTTTATCAGCAACAAGAGGGGTACTCCGGGCTGATCTGCTAAACACAGGCCTGGGAAGAAGGAAAGCTTACCAAACCAAGGCAAGAATGCCCAGGATTAGAGGCAAAAGGTGTGTCAGACTGCTTACCAACATGTGCCAGGTGAGGTGCCTGGCAGGAGTGACTCACTGTGGATTACCACTGTTTGCTTATTCATATTGCTAACATTGGAAAAAGAATCATTTAATAGGAGCCAGCAGTTGGGGCATTTGGTCATTCAGGGAGAAAGAAGCATTTAGAAAAGGAAGCTACTTATGAAAGGACTGTAGCAGCTGACCAGAAACCTGAGAGTTGGATTCAAAGGGCTAAATTCTAATCTGAAGCAAAATTTACTAATAAATCAGCAAAAAGATATGTGCGTGAAAGCTTGCAAAGATCTCAAGATACAAATCACTGTGGAAAGGAAAAGCATTACAGGATAGATGAGGATGGTGTAAAAGTACCAGCAAGAAGTCAGAACTTCTGGATATGAAAATAGAGGCGTGTGGAACATTTAAGATTGGGATTTAAGTAATTAGACAATTGATAGTTTACTGGTATTTTAGAGCCTGATCCTAGTAATTTAATCAGGAATTTCCTATTCCTTTCACTATTACAAAACTTAAAGCTGTATTTAAAGATATAAGTAGCTGCCTGAGCAGGTGTCACTGATTTAGGCAGCAATAGCCTGTATTGGCATAAGGTGGTTCCACTATGACAAACACTGTTACATTGCTGATTATTGTACCTTTTCTTTAAATTTAAATTGGTACTTTTCTCTCACTCCTACTAGTGCTCGATTGTCGCTGTCTCTGTTCTCCTTGCCCAATTCAATTAGGTCCCTGTGGGCCAGGAACAAATTGTAATTCTTGATTACACTTTGTGGGTTTTACCCCCTGCTAACTTCCCTCCAAGGCAACACGTACAAACAATTCTATTTGCGTGAAGAAAACTCTGCGCTTATTTTGAAACAGCACCATCAGTACTCTATGGAGTTGCAAAGGAGCTTTTTGGATTGCGTAATCCTTAACGCAGTGATGTGTTGCATGACACAGCTCTGCTTTCACGTCTGATTCATGCCAGTGCCTAGGTCTGTAGAGGAAGACAGCAGCAATACCGACTTCTTCTAGTAACTCTATCCAAAAGAAAATGCTTTCCCTGCACCAAGAACGTATAGGCACTGTCTGGTGGGCTGAAAGCCCAGAGGCAAGATCCAGGAATTCCTGAGACTTAATTTTGACGTTGCCTTTGGTTCACTGAGGTCACGTCCCCCAGGACAGGTGCAGACAAGGATGGGAAGCTCCGCTCCAGTCAGACACAGCCGGCCCTGCTCGGGCGCCTGCCCGGCCCCGGGGCCGCAGGGCTTCTGTGCCGCCCGGGCACAGTACCGAGCCTGGCAGAGGAACCCCTGTCTGACCGTATCCACCTAGGGAAGCTAAAAATACACCTCTCTGGGATTTCACAGAGATTACCTTTGTTTTCACTGAAGTCAGTGAGATTTTATTTGTGAGAGCACCTGGAGCATATTCAAAGGTGAATAGAGGTCAAGTGAATCCACCCACTTCTTATTTGGATAGGACGGAGTTTAAGTACTTCCCCCTGTCTGGCCGACGTCATCAACAAGACAAATTTGCTGCTTTTTAATTCATCCTTGTACTATTGAGAACCGACACTATTTTCAAAGTGTTTTGAATGTGTAAACCTTGGCTAAGTGGTGAGCGTTGTTAGTAGTTACCACTCTGTACTGGTAACAAAATTTACATTTCTAGTGGTTTTTTGTTTGTTTGTTTGTTTTCAAACCATCTATTCCCTTCTCTGGAAGATAACAGTTTTGCAATTAGATTATGTGTTTTCCAGTCTACAGTCTCTTTTCTTTGTGCAAAAAGTGATAGAAAGAAATCTCACTTTCAGGTGTATTTAACTTTACAGAAATAAAAAGCAAGTTTGGTAGCTTCAGTATATTTTTTTACATACAGTTATCACCATGAATGAATTACTTCATGTGTTAAGATTGAAGGTAAGGAAAAGTGTGACTCAAGGCAGAAGCTCTGTGGATTTTTATTTTTTTTTTACCTTACTTAAACCCTCCTTTTCCTGCAGAAAGAAGACCTCCAAATATATGAAAAATACTGTCAGAACAAGCCAAGGTCTGAAGCTCTCTGGAGACAGTGTGGAGACAGCATCTTTTTTCAGGTAGAATTTCATTGCAGACTAGCAGTACAAGACCATCAAAGCTTGTTTTCCTTCTGTATCTCTTCTTTCTTTAGAAAACTTAGAGAATTACACCTGTACTTTCTTGTACTGATGGCAAGTGCTCAGTACGTGCTCTCTACAGGAAACTAGGCAGGGAAAGTAGCAAGTAGATTTCCTGGACAGGACCCTGACACTTCAAGCTATACCCAAACCAAAGAGCTGCTGACTTCTTTGCAAGCCCCAGATGATTACAGTCTCATGATCAGGGCATGCTAGATTTCAACACTAAGTTGAACCTAAACGTTAGCCCTCGTTTAGATGTATTTTCACTGTGGCATAAGTAACCTGGAAACTCCTATGCAAATGGAACAAATTTCTCTCTCAATTAATTCACAGACATATAATCTTCAAATTACCAAATGATTGTGATCTCAGTGTCTTGCCTGTGCTTCAAGAAACAATTGTATTTTTTTTTCCTGCTGTCTCTTAACAGGAATGTCAGCGTAAATTGGATCATAAGCTCTCGCTAGATGCTTATCTCTTAAAGCCAGTCCAGAGAATCACCAAGTACCAGTTGCTGTTAAAGGTAAGTTCTCCCTGACAATGTAAAGAATCCCAATGCATCACTTGTTTTACTTACAGACTTGCATATCAGCATTATTTGCTGAGAGGCTACCTGGAAATAAATCCTCTCTCACTTCTTCAACAAATGCTTTGTAACACTAAGTTGTAAAATGGTAACAAACAATCAACTTTCTATTTTATATATTAAACAATAGCAGTATATTATTATATTGTAATACTGCTATATATATAAAGTAAGATTTTATAATAGTATTTTGTTGTCTTACTTATTATTTTATTTATCTTTAAATGGAAATTAATTTGGCTTTATTGGATCGGTACATGGTCTTACAGTTTGAAAACAGGAACTGATCCCTTAAATCCTGTCTCTGACATCTGTCCCTGTTTAATAAAACTCTTTCAGCTCTCTGAACCTGATATTTTCCCATGGTTGTGACTCAAACCTTTCAAAAGGAGTCACTCCCTTTTGGTGCTTCTGTTTTAAAGACCCAGCTAGGGACAAACGGTCTGTACCTTTTCCACAGGATGACAATGTGAACTTCCCTCTTGATTTGGTTGGAACTGTGAGTGGACCATGCTTGAAATTGTAGTCTGCACTACACTGGGCAGCAGGAAATAGATACTCTCAAACCAATGACATTTTTTGAAAATGGTGGCTTAAATTTCTGTCTTCATCTCTTCAGTTCTTAAAGATAATATTTACAGACTTTCCTTATGGGAAGGTCATGAAGGTGGATTACATGCTGTTCTCAAGCCTCTGGATTTAATGTAGCGTCATGTACTGTCACGAAATTTAGTGTGAAATTTGCAATGAAGATTTTAGGCTGCAATTTTGTTTGTTAATATCCACCATGGCACTAGTCAAATTGTGCCAGTTTAAGACTTGTGAGGTCTGTCTGGCCATTCGCTTGTGCAGTATGTCTGCGACCTGTTTATTGACTTTACACAAAACTGTAGAATCCAAATATTGAAGTGGTATTATTAACAAGGATGCAACTTTGCTGATTCCAGCAGATTTACATCAATGTAATCCAGAAGTAAATTTGGCTCTCTTTCTTGAAGCTATTCTGTGACGAGGGAGAAACTGTCAAGGTCTTCAGTAGAGCAGGAGTAAACCAGATTCTACTTTTAATTTGAAATATGACTGTAAATAAAACCAAGATTAAATCAAAGAGTAAAATTCTCAGGCAAAACAGGTTGCAGGCATTGGGGCTGAAGCTGGTCAGACCAGTTTTGTACTTAGCAACAACACATTGGCACAGGCATTTACTTTGTCAGGTGTTGCAAGATTTGTGAAGATGGTGCACTCTTTTGCTGGCAGCAGGAGCATTTGAAAGGTTAGGAAAATGGAAGTGAAAAATTGGTAACAAACAGGTGCATAAGCAGCTGTGTGCCTTGAATGATGGGCAGACTAGGTTTAAATTCTGGGTCACAATTTTTGCAACCCTCTGGTTTCAATCAGTTTAGCTAATGTTATAAAGCAGCATGTGCACTATACAGAGAGTAGAGATCCATCCTTATCCTAGAAGTTGTGCAACAGGTGCTACAGGAATGGATCCTGCTTTTACCTTCTAAGCCCTGGTCACTCAAGCTCTTGAGGAGAGACTACTGCTGTTTGGGGTTTGCAAGAACTATCTTTTTGCAGCCTTCTTTTAAAGGAACACAAATGCCTCAGCTTTTAGATTAAATGATTTCTAAACTCAAAGTGCAGCTGAAAAGGATATGCCTAAATGAAAACCAGGTCAATGGCCACCCCTGCTGAAGGGATCTAATTCTTACTATAATAGGGATTACTGAAGTTAGTAGAGTCATTCCTAGGTGTATTTCTGGAGCATACTTTCTGTTGACATTGTAGTTGGCATAAGGAAACAAAGCAAAACTCCCTTACTGTACTTGCTGTACAGTTCTTAGTGAGATGCTATTATTACAAGAATTTATTTCTTAGTTTCTTCAGAGCTTGCACTTCTGAAGTCAAAATTACATCCAGCCAAACACTTCTTTCATTACACTTGTAGATGTATAGGGCAGGGATAAGTCAATAATGATGAATAAAATGATTATTTGGTTATAAATTCTGTTACTGGAACTATTGTCTCATTAACAACCAATAAACTTATTATTGCAGCTGATTAATGGATGCAGATTCTAAGCATTAAAATCACAGGTCACTATATGTGACCGTAATGAGTTATCTTACGACTTTTGGTTACAGTCATCTTACTTTTTCTGTTTAATGGTAGGAATCCTGATTGATTGGCTTTGGTTTCAAATTCTGTAGTGTAGTCCTGGGATCTTCCAACTGCTTTGAGATTCATGTGGTCTCAAGACTGTACCAGCCATATATCAGTTTGTATCTGTCTGTTAACCTTTTCTTCCCTAGATTCTTTTAGCAAAGATACAGAGTCTGATTTTGATCTCAGGTGGATACTCATTGGCAGTAACTGCTTTCTATACAATACAGTGGGGAAAAAACAATCTGTCCATCTGAATCAGGGCACCTGTGTAGGCAGAAGAGCAAGAGGCAAGGCAGTTAATCTCATTTAAAATGAAGATTTTATTGTCCTTCAGGATTTTCTTAGGTTATAACCGTTGGTTACAAGAAGACAATTATGTCCTGAACTATGACTAGAACTTTTCAAGCAAAAGATAAATACAGAAATAAGAAAAGTCATTTCTGTAAGGAACTGTAACTGTAAGTTATTTGGAACTCTAAATAGGATCTCTGTATGTGAAGTGATTACAGAAATTGAGCCCTCAAAAGGTTTTGCTTCTTTGCTTTGGGCATATGCTTCTTAACTTGTCCAGATCTTTGCCTCTTCTTCCTTGTACAAGGATTGGAGGATGGAATATCTTCTCTCATTTCAAGCATAATATAACGTTTGATGAATTTTTGCTAGAGGTCAGCATTGTTCTTCAAAATTACTCTATCAGAAAAGGTTTTCAAATTTGCGAATGTAGATCTGTAGATTATAGTGCAGAGGTAGAGAATAAGAGGTGGGGAAGATTTATAGTAAACTGGCTTCTTTCCTGCCCCGCTCCCTCCCACAAAAAAAAAAAAAAAAAAAAAAACAAAACAGCTGAAAAACCTATTTTATAGACTAAAGAAGTCTCATTTACCTTAAGGAAGAGATGTTTGTCAATTTTTTTTTATCTGATGAGAGCTTGCTGAGACCTGATGAGTGGAATATCAAACCTGCCAAATTCAGACTATAGATTAATTTATATTTTTAACAGTGGTAATAATTACCTTATAGAACAAATTGTAAAGGGAAATAGTGAATTCTCTAACACCTGAAATCATTATATTAAGACTGAATTTCTTTTCTAGAAGCTGTGGAGCAAAAACCTGGATGTAATTCTGTGACATACAAAAAGTTCATTCTAGATATGTCAAAATGGTCCTGTCTCATCTTAAATGAACCCATAAAACTTGAAAATGTCCAAAAGGTCAAAATGTAGGTCCACAATGACAATTCTGGTTAATATCCTGTTTGGTTTTATTTTGGTTTGTTGTTGTTGGTTTTGTGTTTTTTTTTTCCCTGCTATAATTCTGCTACTTTGTCTATGCAGCGTGAATTTCAGGGAGGAGTGCCTTAGGGTGGCTTCTGGTCTAACAAGTTTTAAAGTAGTTTTCTTATATTTTTTTGATCAGGAAATGCTGAAGTGCAGCAAGAATTCAGAGGGTACCGCTGAATTGGAAGAAGCCCTGGCCACGATGCTTGATATCATCAAATCAGTAAATGACTCCATGCACCAGATAGCAATCACGGGATATGAGGTATTATTTGCTGTTGCTGTTACTCTCGTCTTGACCCATCCAATGTTCCTCTCATCACTGATCATGCTGTGCCCATGGCTGGTACACTTTGCAAAAGCCTGTGCCACGTTCTTGAAGGGTGCCACGTTCTTGAAGATGTCACTCAGTGGCATCTGTGGTGACCAAAAATATGTGTCAACAAACCTGTCGTGTGGGGGTGGGAGTGTGAATGTGGGGAGGAAGCAGTCCTTCTGAGTAATCACACACAAAATTCATTTGTAGGTGAGAGGTAGCAAGTATGACAGACATAACTTGAGAAATTTGGTGAAACTTTCTGACTACTATACAGCTCAAGTGTTTCCAAGTGTTTTGTGCCTCATGGAGGAAAATACAGCTTCTGTTTAAACTGGGTACTAGAATCCATCCCAGTGACTGGCAAACTTGTTATCTGAAATGCGAAATTAACAACCGCAGTACAAATCAAAGGCCACAAATGTATACATCTCTCTGCTGAAGCTCTGTTGAAGTCATATGACTTTCAAGAACTAGTGTTGCCTACGTAAAATGAGGCCTTAAGTGAGAAGTGGAAGCGATTGACACAAAAAGGAGAAACACGCCTGGCGAAATAAGGGCTGAGAGTGATGTGGCTGCCAATTTTGAAATAGCTGCAGGGTGAAAATGTCAAGAGAAAAAAATGTACTGAGAATTATGAGGTCAGAGTAAGAGGGTTTAGTCTGGACACTGGAATAACCGTATTTTGTGCAGAATGTGATGACCTGAGAAAGTGCAGGGGTCTGTACTTGACTGTGTCTGGTTGGGAAGAGTTATTCTGTGTTTTGTGGGATGGCGTGACTTCAGTAGTTTTAATTTCTGTAGTTCTCTCTTTTGTGCAAGTGTATCTGCATCTGCTGGCTGAGGAAACCATGCCCTCCGTCAGCGTTATTTTATAAATCATTTTAACTGTTTGCTCAGCTGTATGTCATAGATTCACTGCTGTACACAGCTGGAAATGCTCCTGTGGATTGCGCGTCACATTTGAAATGATAATATGAGTTCTTACCCTGCAGTAGCTGTGCTGGTTTGAACACGAAGCAGTGGCCACCTTGTTGTATTAGCAAACACAGAGACTAGCTATAGTGCCTGTGGATCAGAGAAATGCTACAGGTCCTAAGCTTAACTCCAGTCTCTCAAACCCGACAAACTTAAGTATATACTTTACCCTCACCTTCTGCACAGCTATGATGAGCTACACCCATTATGAATCGATCAGTGGGGTCTTTGCACCAAGAGTTGGATTTAGATTAAGAATATAACATGTTTTCCTGCTTAGTTTAGATTACCAGTATCTTTTTTGATATGACTTCCATCTAATTTTCAGTCTTTCCAAGTTTTCTCAAGCTAGGAGAAGCCTGCTGTGCTCAGATTTGGTGGCTGAACAGGAATAGTTCATTAGCTTTTTAATTTCTCCAACACACAAGGTTAAATCCAGCATCTGACTCTTTCTGTCATTGAAAGTTCTTAAAGAATTCTTTACTAATATATCTTCTGATGGAGCAGAAATGCTATATATTTTTGAATCTTCACTGAAAAAAAAGCTTAATTTCAGTAACACAAAAGAAAACACTGGTCTTAAAAGGACATATTTTATTTTATACTGGTGTAATCAGATGTAAAAAAGTGTTGTCAGCTATAAATTTTGTTTGAATGTAGTGACATAAGCCAATAACTTAAAGTGACTCACTACAGATGAAAATTTGTCCAAATATGTTTAAACTGCTACTGATAAAACCCTTGAGATCTCTAAAGCTGAATGGTAAAATAAGTTTAATACTGTATATTTTATTCCTGTTTGTATTTCCTGAGAATGAAAACAAACCTCGTTCGCGTCAGTAGTCAGTTTTCCTTTCAGTTTTCCTACTCTTGGGAAGCTGTTTTGTTTCGTTTAAAGCCAGTGGCAAAGCTTGTGTTCGCTTTTCCATCATAGTAGACAAACTTTCCCTTCTAGCACTTTTGTTTTTGAGAAGTTTTTCCTGGAGCAGTATAAATTAACATCGAGACACATCTCTGCTGCTTTCAGGCTTCTCCAGCCTTTCTTTCATGGACTTTCTAGGGACAGATGTCTTCATCCTGGTGCCACCGTTCTCAGCACTCAGAGTGGTTTTGCTTGATGTGACTTTCTGAATCACTGGTTGCAGTGACAGCCTGCTGGCTCCTCCTGCGGTTTCCAGCAACTGCTGCACAAAGTGGTAACTTGCACAATGCTGAACATGTTACCTTGTTCAATGGTTTCTCTTTTGAAATAATCGAGTCTTCATTTGTATCTGCAGGAAAGACAGGACTTTTCACGTGTGGTTTTTTTTTGGTTCAAGTCCATTTGGTTTCAGTAGTCTTTTACAGCCTACTAGGTGTCAGGAGAAATAGCTTTTAAAGCTTCTCTAAGCCATTCTGGTTATGGCTAATTCTGAGTTTCTCAGAGATTCATTTTAGAAAGACTCTTTAAAGCCTGAATGTTGTTATTGTAGACGTGGGCATGGGAATCTCATGGATACACCACATCTTTTACTTCCTTGGTTTCTACTGTTTCTGATTCATTTCCAAAGAGAAAGGTAGCTTTCCTCTTGGGTTTCCCAGTTTAAATGCATTAAATTACAGCAATTTTTCAAAAATTTGGTTTTAAACAGCTCTTTAAGTAATGGGCAGAAGAGCTTCTCCAAGAAAGTAACATTATCCTGAGCAGAGGGGATCTATCCAGATTTCTATCCATATAGATGTTGAGGTCATCCTTTTGCCTATTCCTTGCTTTCAAATCTCAGAGTACTTTTGTATTCAGGAATTCAACAGAACTTTCCTCTTCCTTTTTGGTTTCTATTTTTGAATTTGCCAGCCTTCTGTGAAATGCTGGATAGTAGCTCCAAGGACTAGATTTTTGCCTCTGCTTTGTTAGCTGAACCAAAAGACATGACAAAGTGGAGCATGGGTGCTGTGTAGCCCGATGCTGACAGCATTCTTGAGATGGTTTTTTACATGATTATTAAATAGGGTGAAAGTGTGAAAGAGGATGAACCCAATAATTTCTTCTCCCTGTTCCACCTGTCCCAGGTGCTCAGCTGTAATGCCAAATAAACACCTCCCATAGCTCATGAAACCGTGCCCCATCTCGTGGAGACTTTCCCACACAGGCTTGATAGAAACACTGGCCTAGAACACCTTTCAGAGAAGGTTATTATGCCAGCAGAAAAGCAGGTTTTGTGGCAGCTGATGAACGCTCCTAATTGCATAGGGTATTCTGCTTCTTGGACCTATGCACTTACAGACTTGAAGAGTTGAACTGTCGTGTAAGAAATTGCTAACATGTAAGTTTGGGGTTGTGGGCTTTTTTTTTATAGTATTATTTTTAGGCAAAGACACAAAAAAAAAGTTGAGTAAAGCTTGGATGGCAGAAGTTTTAGAGATGTTTCCTACTATCATCCTAACATTTGTATCCAGTCTGGCCTGAGCAGTTTGTCCATGAGTTATGCAGCACTTAACTCATTCATATGTATCTCTCAACTTCGATAAACACGAGATACAGTGTATTGTTCTAACAGGGAATAATGATATTTGAGATAGTGATCAAAACCTCCATTTTAAGTAAACTTCCTTTAGGACAAAATATTGCTCTCTATTAGCACACAAGTGGAGAGAAACAGTGTCCTCTTTATTTGCTGCCCACACTGAAGAGAGAGTCCAGGGCTTGTGGGCTAATATTCAAAGTCTTTTGTGGAACTGCTGCAGACTGCTATCCCTGTCCACCCTCTTTCTCTCTGCAGTGGTAACCTCCCACTTCACTTGCTATAATTCCCATACTAGATCCAAGATTGAAGAGTCAGACTTAACACAAGAGTTGAACTGAGCTTCTGGATCTCAGTGCCATATCAAACGGTGCCTGGAGTGACAGGAGCCTCTCACCATTGTCAGAACTATGTAGAAAATTTGTTTGTTTGTTTTTAGCTTTACATCTCCTCAATATGCTTTTCACAGGCTTGCAGTTTGCACCTGCATACACATATCAATACAAACACACACAGTCTTCTATGCACAAACAAAAAATCCAACTCTATATATTAGAGATGAGAGACTGTTATAGAAATTACTGAGATTTTTTGAATGCTTTGGAGAGTCTAATAATACCATGATATGGAGTGGAAAAGTACCTAATCAAACCCTGGTTTTGCTGTTGGATCTGGGGTAGAGGATGAGGAGTGAGAGAGAGAACAGGTTTCAATCCGTAGTTTAAAATCAAACATTCCCACTTGGAGTCAACATCTTCACCTTATAATCAACAGAACATGCAAACGTTCAAAATAAGTGCTTTAATAAGGCACTGAGCTTATTCCTTCAATTTATTATACAAAGCACTCCTAGAAAAACTTGCTGCTTGGATAATTATGTTTATCATCATTTGTTGAACCCCATTACTGTACAGATGTACTATGTTCTCTATCCATACATTGCTACACTTTTTAGTACAGAACTGTGCTATAAATATTTGTGTTGGTGGCATCTGAGCCAAGTATTTCTATCAATTGAAGTATTTACCCATCAGTTGTCCTCAGACGAGCGCTTTAACTTAGAAGGGTCTGGTTCCTGCTTAGTTTCACTCTCTCTCAGGTACTTTTATAGCTCTTTGGTGCATTTACTCCCTCTTTGCCCAAGGCTGTGCAGCATTGTGTAGTTTGCAGACGGTGAGCTCAGCAACTATTGACAAAGCTTTTAAAGACTATTTTGCAATAGGAGGGAATTGCACACCTACATACCTCTAGGCACCAATGTGTACCTTCATACATCTAAGCATCTTTCAAGATTTTGCCCAGAGATAGGAGCAGCTCATAACAGAGCAGAAACTGAACCTACATCTTTCAGAGCCAAGGCCTTTGCTTGGATATCTGGACTACACTGGTCCTTCATACTGCATTGGAGTCAGTTGTCCTGAAACCCAGTTCTTTTCAGATGTTTCCTCTGAAGTCATCAAAGGGGACGGCCTGTATGTCAGATCCAAAGAGGTCCTGAGACAGACCTTAAACACTAATTATGAATGGGGAGGCAAACTGGCAATTATGGACATGGAAAACAATGGGTTGATGGTTATGTGAAGAAACCACACAGGTTTAACAAGGAGACATGTACAGATGGGATTACAGCTGTAACATGTCCACTCCTCAACATAAGGGATGTCTAGACACATGCCTCTGCCTGGAAGCTTAAACACCAGTAGAGGAAAGAACTGTGCCTGGGATTACGCTAGTTTGAACGTGATGTAGGTTCTCTCTTTTCCTTGTTTGCTAGGGGGATGTCAATGAGCTTGGCAAGCTGTTGATGCAAGGTTCCTTCAATGTCTGGACTGACCACAAGAAGGGGCACAACAAGGTGAAGGACTTGGCTAGATTCAAACCGATGCAGAGACACCTCTTCCTCTATACAAAGATGCTACTTTTCTGCAAGAAACGGGAGGAGAACACAGATGGCCATGAGAAGACAGCTTCATACAGCTTTAAAAACTCATTAAAGGTAATAAATGTGGTAATGGTGGGGGAGAGAAAGAAATTGGGTGTTCTTACAACATGGGGATGTTTCCATGTGGAGATTTGAGGAAGACATGCACATCTGGAGCTATCTTGCAATCCTGAGTAAATGAAAGTTCCCGTTTGGTTTTGTTCTGGAGACAGACTCAGCCATATGTCCTGCAACTCCAGACATGAGCCTTGGTTTTGCAGCTCGATACAAACGGGCACCTTGTGTGATTTGCCCAGCATCTCATAAAGAGCAGCAAGATGGAATGGACCTGCATCTCTCATTGTTCTGCCTATAAGCATCCTTCAAGTTCAGGTCTATTGCGAGTTTTGCTGTTCACATCAGTTGAGCAGATATAATCTGTGACAATAATAGCTACAGATGAATCACAGTGCAGCAGAAGTGCCCTTTTATTTACAAGAGTGACATTTCCAGATATGAGTCAGGATGTTTTCAGTTAAGATGAGATTTGCAAGTAGGCAAAATTTCCCTTTGAGCACGTTGATGTGACACTTGTGACTTCAGACAACCAACATGGGTCATCAAGCATAATGCTGCAAACTTATTATGGGGTAACCAGACAGGAATTGTAACAGAACCTATTTCAAGGAGTGAGCCGATTCATATAAACATTTGAAGTTTCTTTCTGTGGAGATAGCAGGAATCATGACATAATCAAAGCTGTTTAAATCCTCAAATCTAATGCTGAGGCAAATCAGAACAAGAAGGATGAACAAATACGGGAAGAACATGGGAAGCTGGTAAGTATAGTAGCAGCTAGACTTCAAAATTGTGGTTAAGAATCTATCATTTAAGAAATCTAGAATTATTTGCTTCTGTTCTTTGTTTGTCTTCCCTAGTTAGGCACTAAGCTTCTTGCTCACTACTTTTATTAATTTTCCTGGAACTATTTTGAATTTTTTTGTATTGTCTGGATTTGCAGAAGAGCCTTTCGATCTCACAAAGCCCTGTTCCATCCCTCTTCGTCCCCCACCTCAACAGGTCGGTGATGGCAAGTTGAAAATACCATCTTCCTCAAACTGAAAATTTGTGTAGGTAGACAAGAGCCAGGATAGAGTTGAAAACTGACCCACAGCTTAAGCAAAAACAGCAAAGAGGATAAAATCATAATCAGACATTAGCTTGTGTTACTTTTGAGCACTTAAATTTTTTTTCTATTTTTCCTGTAACAATCAAAAAGATGAATGATAAATTAGATGTTGAGAAGTAACGTGCTGAATTTAAATGACTCCCTAAGGTGCAGAAGTGAATGCAGCCTTTTAAAATCACTTCTCAGAGGAGAAAGACTGTTGATATTTTCCGAATTCCAGCTTCTTCTTTTCTATTTTGAAACAGATGAGCACTGTGGGCATTACAGAAAATGTAAAAGGGGATAACAAGAAGTTTGAGATCTGGTATAATGGCAGAGAAGAGGTCTATATCATTCAGGTAACAACAATCCTTTTTTTTCCCAAGGATTATACTTCCTTTCATTTGAATTGTTTTTAAAAATGTTTTCAGTTTCTTGACTTTCACTGTCCTGCACACTCAAGAAATAATAGCTATTGGAAGCTTCATTGTTGTGTTGGTACTGAAATTACCAATTTATCATTGTGAAAACAGTCGTGATTTTGGGTAAAAGAGGAAAGAAAGTAGTGGAAAATACTTGGAATACTGGACAGAAAAGCAAGGACAGTACTTTAGATTCATGGTAACTTTTCCATCTTGAAGAGCATCCTCTGCTTTGCTTAAAGCTGGCCACAGTGTTCCATTTCTTGGGAAAATTGAGAGCAAACACAGGTCAGGGCAGCCAAGTGACTGGCAGCATGCTTTAACTAGATCTGCTTTGCCTTTTCCTCTTGTGTTCTCAGGCATCTTCTGTTGAGCTGAAAAACACCTGGATTTCAGAGATTCGCAAAGTCCTGACAGGACAACTGGAAGCATGCAGAGGTAGGACACACAGAGCGGGATTTGGTAATGTTGCCTCCTTCTGTAGCTGTGTGTGACAATATGGAGCTGGGATGAGTTACAGTGCTGTCCAGCACCAGCAGAGAAATCGGCAAGAACGGATCTTCTATGTGAGGATCAGTTGGGTGGTTGCAGTGTTGCTGGCACTTAAACCCTTGTCCTGATTGAAGAAAATTTCTTAGAACTTTAGAAATGGCATGAATAATTACTCCATTCACAGTTAGTCTAAGGAACATGATTTTCCTGTGTCCTCCCTCTCCAGCTGCAACCCTAGAAACATCCATTTACGTCAGCATGTGAGGAGATGGCGTCAGTCTTCACTCTTCACTCTGTGCCTTCTCATACGACCTGAGACAAAAGATCTCCTTCCACATAGATGACTGGACACATCAACTGTTCCACTCTGTCCTATTGTTTATTTTGATTTGTTGGGTTTTGAGGGTTTCTATTTTAAAGCTAGTCACCTGCCTTATGTTTCAAACGTCAGTCAGTTATTACATCTTTTTATCGTAGTGACCTCCCTGTAAAACATGATTAATGACATCTCTGTCTCTCACAGAGATGTCACTATGACAGTGATTTGTGACATGCTCAACACATGAAGGATTGAAGCCTCATAAGTACCTAAAATAACAACACCCTTTTTTATGTAAGATATTGAACCCAAGACAGACAAAATTCAGTTAGGTTATACCAGGTAGTAAGAGAACAGAGTGATGAAAGCTATCTGAGATACTATTCTATTTATTAACAAGAATTTACAGGGTCCTAAAAGCCATTTTTCAGGCTTTCTTAGGACACAAAAGTGTAGCCGTGTCCAGTGCAGACTTTTCCTGGACCCTGGCATTACTTATCACCTTGACCTGTAATTTTCTGCTTCTCTCATACACACACCTCTCTTTAAAGCAATGCCAGCAAAGCCTCTCCACCCACATCGTTCAGATTCCTAAGCACACTTTGTCCTAGGTGGAAACCTGTGCCTATGCTTTAACTTTAGAGGTGATCTTTATTTTAATTATCTGTTTCACAAAGACAATGACTTCTTACAACCTCCTTAAGTGGAAGGAAACAACTATGCACATTAGCCTCAGCAATTTAATCCAACCATAACAATATACTTATTTACAATGCTTACTACTCAGGTTTTTTGTTACTATTCTTGTCTTCATCCTTTCTCCTTTTTATTCTGAATTTCACTGTGGTCATTTCAGTAGGAACTGCTGAGGAAAGAACTCAAGATTCTTATCAGAGCAGTTTCAGGACTTGATCTAGGGGCTCTCTGATATGGTATTTGCTTCTGAAGTGTAAAAGCTGGCTTTACTTAGGCTACCACAGAAGAGAAGAGTAGCTTATGGAGAAAATGTATGTATGTAACAGGATAGAGTGCTAATCCCCCATGTGTGTTTCTAGGCAAAAAAAATGAAGCTTGTACGTCACCCAGATGAGCATTTGTGAAATCTTAGTAGCATACAAGACCGACATGCTAGAGTTACTATGCATTTTCCAGAGAAAACTATGCAGCAATCAAGACTGAAAGTTTTTGCAAACATTTCTTCATTATGTGGGTGATGAGGAACTGGAACAGGTTGCCCAGAGAAGTTGGGGATGCCTCATTCCTGAAAGTGTTCAAGGCCAGTTTGAATGGCAGGGAGTTGAAACTAGATGATCTTTAAGGTCTCTTCCAAGCCAAACCATTCTATGGTTCTATGATTTCTATTTTGATATTCTTTATTGTTTTGTCTTAATATCGTAGGATCCTAGAATATTTCAGGTTTCAGGGGACCTCAGGACATCATAGTCCAATGTCCTGCTCAAAGCAGAGTCAGTTATTGGTCAAACCAGGTTACTGAAGACTTTATCCAGTCTGGTCTTGACAACATCCAAGGATGACTTTCATCCTACTTTATGAGTGAAGTCAAACTTTCCTTCATTGTGAATCAGCAGAACAGCAATCAGAGGGCAGAAATTGTACCTTATGTGCTATTGCAACTCTTCCCATTGCCTTTTCCCAAATGATGACAGGAATCAAAGCCCTTGTTACAATACCAATGGCAGGAAGCAAATGCTTTGTCCTGTGGTTTTAAACAGTTGCTTCTATTTCCAATGAGTCATGAAAGAAGAGACCTTAATTCATCCTTAATCCAAGACTGGATATTTCTCCAACTGTGCGTTGTAATGAGAGAAGAAAGAGGGACATGTTTGTTCGTCTGGGCTGGTTTTAATTACTGTTGTTAGGAGTTGCACAGGGAGTTGGAATGTTGGAAGGAACCAGCTGAGATGAATGAGTGAGTAAAGGGCAAAGAAGGTGGCCAAAGGTATGTGATAAATAGTTTAACATAAGGGTCATGAGTGTCCGAACACTTAGTGTATATACACCCCTATCATATACTGCAGTGAGCATGGAATGCTAATGAGGCTTCAGGTAACACCTTGATCCGTTGATCCCAAAGAGCATAATGTCTCTTGCAGGCAAAGGAATTATGGATGCAGCTTAAGAGATTTGTGCAAGGCTGTGAATCAGTTGCCAAAACCAGGAATGGAGTTACTTCCAGTTTGCCACCCAGAGCGCTCCTTTCTCCCAGCGTTTCCACCCACAAAATACTTTGTATTTAATCTTTCAGTGCTGCCCCTGTCCCTTTGTTCTCCTTTCATTGACAGGAGCTTCATCTTCTTCCAGAGTAAAATAGCCCTAGGATCTCAGCAATCCAAGAGTTTGAAAGCAGCTCCTTCCATTGCCTCCTCACTTCCCAGTGTCTGGCTTTCCTGGCCCTGAAAACAGGGTTGTCAGCATTTTTCTTATCATCTTTTTCCACTCAGGAGTTACTGGACATAGGTGCAAATGAGCCTGTTGCTACGTAGCAGCTATGCAAAAAGAGTGAACAAGTGGCATTTTATTGTTGCTGCTTGTCCAGGATGCTGAGCAAAAGCATTCCTCAGAGGCATGGGGATATATTCTACTAGATGGCTGCGTGTGCAAGAGGACTGTTGTACATGTGTTGCTATGTCCAGAAAAAGCTATGAGCCACAAAACCTGTATTGTATTCTGGCAGAAATGCCAATGTGTCGTTCTCTAGATCCAAGTTGTGCAGTGAGCTAGGAAGAGGTACAGAGGAAAGAGAAGGTGGTAGGGGACGAAATCTCTTCTGTGCTGAGAAAGTATGGGTAGAAGAGCTGTTTGGGTGAGCAAAGTTTTCAGCCTTTAAGGTCACCATATGCCTTTCTCTTCAAGTATGAGTACTCAATTTTGATTGCAGCAGCAGCAGCAGTCAAAATCTCTCCTCTCTTCTCTTCTCCTCTCCTATTTCTCTCTCTCTTTACTACCTTCTATGCAAACAAAGAAGCAACTTACACAATTTGGAGCAATTTCTTTTTATTTTTTCTTAAACAGAAGCAAGTCAACTGCACCAAAGAATCACTGAGAGTGTATACCACGCACCAATGGATTCTTCCAATGCAAGCAGGTATCATTGCATATCAGGGCCACGTTTTGTCTTGCCTTTGTGCTTTTGTAGTACATAAATTCTTAGTTTTCTGTATTTAGCTTCCTGGGTACGAACTGACTTGATTATCTTCAAATTCTTTAAAGACATGTAAATGCAGATAAAGGTTTTGCTCCTGGGGAAACTAAAAATCACAATGCAGAATTCATTTCAAAGATGATAATTTTGTTTTGCAAAAGAACCATATGCTCCAGATTAACTCAAGTTTAAACAAAATGTATTGGAACATTTCCAGGATGTTAGATGGAACTGTCAGCAAATTTTTGTAATGACCCAATTGCTGGGCAGGTTTAATGCAAGTTGGCATGGGATATCATTGTAAAATTTTAGCAGGATCAACGAAACCAAGAGATCCCAGGCAGCACAGCCAGCCTTTGAGAGCTGTACAACTCAATGCAAGAAATTTTAAATAGATGCAATGCTGTTGATCCTGCACCGTGTTTTCTCTAGCCTTGGTTACATTTGCTTTGTTTAAGGTTTAAGCTGAAAAGGTTTAAGAGTTAAAATTTTTCAGTAAAATCACCTTGGGTATAGGAGAAAATTACTCCAGTGAAATATGAAATGCAATCACAAAAATGTTTGAGATCAATCCAGATGTATGTCCCTCTTAAAAGGCTCTTAAAGTAAGAATTTTCAGAGCAGAAATTATAGACAGAATATGTCAACAGAAAATAAATTAACTCCAGGAAGAAAGGCCATGTGATTAGCTATTTGTTCTAGAGTGAATGAAACCAAAGGAGAAATGAAGTGCTTGTTGTCCTCACTCTGCCAACTATGCCAAAGAAGGACAAGTTCGATGTTTCTGCTCCAGATGCTGGGTTATTATAGGGACAGGAAGAGTACGGTAAGTCTTCATGAAAGAACAAAGCCCTGGGCTTCATGAATGGAACAGAGTACAGTGTCCTATTGGCTTTTATAAACTGAGGCCACTTTGATCGCCTGTAATATGTGTTTCAAAGAGAAGCAAGGACAAGGGAATTGCAGCATGAGGTGGCTTTGCACTGGCAGATGTGAAAGTCTGGATCCAGAATTCCTCAGGCTGTGGAGCTCCTTCTGCAGCCTATTTTGGGATGCTGGGTGGAGGCAAGGAGAGGAAGGAAGAAGCTTGACTTTGTAATAGCCACCCACACGGGCATAGTCTGTGTTTATGACTGACATGAGTAAGCAGCCCCAGTTGTGAAAGGCGCTGTGTGTAAGCCAGTGGTAGATAGTATTATCTAAAGAATAACCAGCATTATCAGTGCTCTGCCAATAGTTGGAGGCTAATTAATTATTGAGATTTTATCTAACTAATAGACTCCCTCTCCTGGGTTGCCCATGTGTAACAGTGACTCTACTGTTTATCAGGAATCGCAAAACCTGTACTGTGACATCGGGAACACTCTCCTCTCCCTGAGCCATATCTGTTCAGTGGCAAAGACCATCCCCTTTACTTGTTTATATACCACTGCAGCATTTGAGGCTGCAATTCCAGGAGATAAGGCAGGAATGGTCTGACTCAGGACTGGAGCTGAGGTCTGTGCAAGAGTCACTTAGAGCCAGTGCCTTTAATACAGGCAGTTATTGAATGTCCCTAAGTCCTGTTCAATTTATTTAAATTCTCTCTCTGTAAATTCTTCCCCAAAGTTTGAGTGTTTAATCCTAAAATGAGATGCCCTGTGGTATCTATCACTGCTGTATCTCTTTCAAGGGTTGGCTGCTGCATTTCAGTGATAATGAAATGATTCCTTTGTATTGTTTTCTAATCTGTTCAAACATATGAAACTTAAATAGACTATTGTTCTAACTGCTTAACTATCTGCTTTCTTGGAAATGACTGATTCAGTCATGCATCCATGTGAAAATATCCTGTGCACACAGATATACACAAACACTTGGAGTTTTACTGCAGATGCTGTTGCAGAGAAGCTCGTATGTTTTCTTGATGTCTTTCTCACAGCTGTAAATCTTTAACTCTGCCAGCTGCATGTTTCACAGTTATCTCAGCCATTACAGACGGCAAGGCCAGTACCTGTGCAGATCTGGCAAGATGGATCCTCTCGTATGTAGTTCAGCTGTAGACAGGGATATCCTGCTTGGATTCATGATTTCAAAGAGCAAAAGAAACAGAAGCTAAGGGATCCTGGAGCCAGTGGAATCTATGTTCTCTATGCATGGTATGACCTCTATGTGACCATCCAGTATCCATTTCTCTCCTGGAATCAAATATACATACGCTGCAAAGGATGGAAAACTGAGGTCCTCTTTCCTAACCTCTTTTTCCCACTTCTTCCAAATCTGTTGGACTTGCAAAAAGAGCTTGTGCAGACAACCAGTTTGTTCCTCCACTTTTCCCTTCTCAACTCTTGCTAAGGGCATCCCTTACTGTGTGACGTAAAAAGGAGGCAGAGGCTAGAATGGCTTTTTCCACCATACATGCCTGCACAGATGCAGACTTTTATAGCACATAGAATTTTAAAACCTGCCTTTATTCTTTAGGTTTCCATATCTGAGGGTAAAAAAGAATGCTTAGTGCTCAATGCTCCATTACATATTAAGC